AGTAGCAATACTTGCAATAAAATTAATATTACTTGCACTGGATGATACACAGGAAGTTAACGTTCAATTATTATTACCGTTACGTTATAAATTGTTACGATCTACTTAGTGAAGCCATACAATTGACCTTGTATCAGGCCTTGGTAACACTGTAAAAATCCGTAAATTACATCAACTTACAAACTTTTACAAATATTTCGAAGAAAAATTAGCTTACAAATCTTTGTGACTTTACTCATATCAAGGGCGCCTTTTTAATTTGTAAAAATTTGTAAATTAAATTACCTTATAAAATTTATCTATTTTTCAAGTTACACCAATGGCTGCGTGAACTACCTCAATGTGTAAAGTCGGTGACAATTTTATTACCACATTACCAGAACGAAAAGCTATGTAAATTTCGTATGTTAAACATGCACTCACATTCCACTTCTTGGAAAGACGTCATACACACTGTACAGAATATCACCGTATTTCAAGAAACCAACTACAAGCACAGTATTCAGGACTAGGGCGAGATTCAGTGATGACAAAAATGAGCTACTGCAGATTTTCAATTGAAACTTGACTTGCTTTTTATTCGCGATATTTTCAAACGTCATTGGGCACCGAGCAATGCATCGGGTGAATTTCAAAAATGAGTTGACCTGCTGGGTCAACCCAGGTGGTGGAGGGGGCATTAATCCAGGAGAAATTTTGACAGGAATCGATTTTGCAGGATATTTTATCTCCATTTTCGTAGAGGAACGAGAAGTTGGTAAATGCAATGTAGAAAATCGACCTGGGAACGTATGTATGTAATTAATTTGTTAATTGACTACTTTCTATCGATCTCGGTGAGATATTGACGTGCGTCTTGGTGTTTACTTTTACTCATGACTCGAGGTTATATTATTTCTAATTAGATTCGGCTGAAATTCGATTGAACAAAGGTACGTTTTCTGACTAAATATACTCAATGGGTACAATTTATGAGGAAAGTCTGTTTAATAGCAAGTGTCCTACTGGATTATGTATGTACAGCAGTAGTTAAGATAAATTGCATGGCTATAAGTATATGTACATACCACAGCACGCATTAATTAAATTCATGAATGTAGCATTTGTAATTACAAAATTTTTACAAGAAATTTATAACATTGTCAATCTTCTTGATGACTTCCACTATTCTGACACAACTTCATTTTCGCCATTTATTAAATACCGATTTTTTTCTTTGTAATTACAAAATGCAATTTGTACATAATGCAATATAATTTAATAGAAAATGAGCGTAATCTCCTCAACGCCTTAATATCACCCCGCTTTCTCCATTGTGCAGAGTTCGATAATAAGGTCAATCGGATCACCCGCACCTCAACAGCCGGGGAATGTGGTCCAAAATTAAATGTAACCGTAATTTCCATACATGGGGTAGAACCTCATAGGAAATTTTACTACAAAAATCTGGTAGTCACATTTTTATGTACTCCGGACTGGAATTGATTTGGTAATACTTAACTTTCTACTTGATTGGTACTAGCTGATTTCGGAGTGGTCACTTTTTAATTACTACAACATCACTAATCCTAAATCATAATGCATATATGCATACAAATATCATAATGCATACACCATATCCCGTTATTACCAGAGCAGGTAGAGTCATGCATGTGCTCTGGTCAGTAATGATTTAATACCAGTTAGTTTACCATTGAAGGCCATTTACTGGAAATATTATATTCTAGTTATCATTTGCGCTTACACTGAAGACACAATTAGCTCGTGTTTTACATGATCTAGACCCCATTAAAGCTTTGCATGAAATGCGGTGCCACAATCAAATATATCTTAAATTTTAATTAAGTTCAAATAAGTATGTATGTGCTGGACAAAAATTATTATGCACTTAGATTTTCGATTATTCTCATCTATCTGCTTTAATTTCGAAACTGCATGAGAATAATGAAAAGCGTAAAAATTTGTTGAAATACCTGAAACATTTAAGCTTTGAATAAATAAATCAATTAATTTTTAATATTTAAATCTTTATAGTGACCACGCACCCCCAAAATCAACGAGTTATTCAACTTTACATAGTCTTTGAGAGAGATTTCCGTAGGATGGTCTGTCAATAAGTTGTAAACTTCCTGTAACTGGAAACAAAATCAATGTCAATCGGTGCTCTGGTAGAAAATTTAATCCTGACCGTCCCACCTAAGTAACGATTTGGAACCAAACGGTAAAAAGAGTTTTCACAAACAATGCAAGTCTTTTACGTGTACAACTCAGATCTGATTGGGACCAATTTTATTTTGTTCACCACAAAAAATAAGCATACCCGTATTTTTTCATTTTTCCTAATGCGCTACTGCGCGAATGCCTAATGCGCGAATTTTAAAACATTTTTCAGCCAAAACCTCGGTTTCTAAAAAATCTGTAATTTTTTGAATTTTGACGCGAATCCAAAAATTCGAAAACATGTCTCCTCAGAGTGACTTACTTGACTTGTAAAAAATCCACATGCATTATTTTTTGAAAAATTAAAAATTTGAAAGAGTTTATAATTTTAATGAATTTCAAAAACTGGCAAAAAATTTTGAAAATCAAATTTCGAGACAGTTGAATTTTTTATAAGTCAGGTAAGTCATTCTGAAGAGACATGTTTTCGAATTTTTGGATTCGCGTCAAAATTCAAAAATTTACAGATTTTTTAGAAACCGAGGTTTTGGCTGAAAAATGTTTTAAAATTCGCGCCACGCGCTCAAATTAGCGCATTAGGAAAAATGAAAAAATACGGGTATGCTTATTTTTTGTGGTGAACAAAATAAAATTGGTCCCAATCAGATTTGAGTTGTACACGTAAAAGACTTGCATTGAAAGTGGAAAATTGATTAGTGGAGGTTAGTTGAAATTATTGTTTCCGCTTGGATAGAAAATCATTACCAACGCGGTGGAGCCTTCACGGACAACTTTTGTTTTCTTTCCTGTACATAATCTGCATACCAACATCTGCCCGAATTTTGACACCAATTATTTGCTATCTTTCAGCTTGCCTTTTTCCTACACCTACACATTTGCACATTGAGCATGCAAATTTGTGTGCAAATATATTGTATGTACTACATTAAGTGGAGAGCAGATGCTGGTGAGCACATTACAGGTCACCCGTATTCTAAACCTTTATAAATACCTCTTCAGAGTAGTAATTCATTTGAAACGTGTCCTGTCTCACTTTTAATTCTTGTTTCTTCAGTAATGATGCAATTTCAATTTCCTGTTTGTTAATCACAACCAGAATATCATTGAAATTTACATCATGCAAAATAAGAGGATACCGCTCACCTCGTCAGTTATTGTCACTGCCATCCAAATTTTGACGTAGAGTCGGCTAATCCCAAACAAAGGCCACAACGATGCGAACCCCATCATTACTGTTTCTCCCATGGTAATCCCACTCTCTGCCGACCGGTCACCTAGGATCGTCACAAAAACGAAGAACGACCCTCCCGTGGCGTACATCGTTAGCAAGATGGACACAAGTTGCTGCGTTGCCAGGAAATTTCCGTAAAGAGTTGCTTGCGATCGTAGCTTAATCAAAAGGTGATGAATTTTGCGAATTGATAATTGATCCGTTTTTCGCCTCGAATTTTTGTCGATGTGATTTCTCACCTTTAAAAGATTAAATAATTCGGGAATAAAATTGTCCCCGAATGTGGGCACGATTGTTTCCACACGGTGACAATAATTGTCTGTACACACTCCTCAAATTTATCTGGCTGCTTTTAGAAATTGATTCTAGTCGCGCTACTTGAAAATTTGAGTTACATCTGCAAATTATTGACACCGTTCGGTTACAAATCATTGCTCCTTTTCCATCTTAATTCACAAACCTGACGGAACTCGACTTGCAAACATTTCAGAAAAATTAGCGCCATGGAATCTCCAAGGGCATAACTAATGCTGGGAAGATATCCATAAATTATGATCAATACGCAATGAATCGGATAAACAGGATCTAATCGCAACACGGTTTCATAACTTGCCAAAATCAGAAGTGGAACAAATTCATACAACGGAATGAAATAAATGAGAAAAGTATGAATTGTAATCTCATCTCTGTTGCAATCAATTTGCTCCATCTCGTCTTCAATGTCGTTCCAATTATTTAACCAGTTCGCTAACTCGGGTGCTTTCAGAAAAGCGAGCAGATAATCCACAAAAACGATGATGACGTACAATGCATGGATTGAAATAGTGAAATAGTTCGTAAATCCTGAGACGTGAGATTGCACACTTAATAAGGAAAAATTGGATGGTGGCCATCTAAAAATTTTTTGATTAAAAAAATTAGTAATCTTTCAATTTAATTAGCTAAATGACCAGTTAGTGTGAATTTATTCGCAAATAAAATGTACCACTTACTACACGCTGTTGCTAAATTATTGCCTGAATTTTTACTTACATTTCACTCCCAGCAAATATGTCGTCCTTCAGTAAATTGCCATATTTAAGGAGACAAATTAACAACAAAAAGTTCAAAATCAATGCGACACTTAATTGCAACACAAAGGATGTACGGCACACTTTGAATTTAAGTTGAAGATGTTGTTTGTTTTCAATATATTTGAACGTTAATGGGCACCGAGAGAGGAGTCGGGCAAAGTTGAAGAAGGGCATGACCTGTCGGCTCAATCGAGGGGACATGGCAAATAATGGAGAATTTTTTTGGAAAATAATTTCAAAGTGCAATATGTATGTATCTATGTAGATCCAAAAGATGAATACGGTATGATGCTCGTTTGTACGTAGGATAAATACATGTGAAAATACGGAAAAGGTATTTAATTTGTTAAAGTGACTGGCTAATTGTGATCGATAATGAGTAAACTGTCAACACGATGACAGTTGGGTGGGTGGATTATTATGAGTAAAATAATGGGTCTTTGCATTTTTAGTAGAAAGATTATTACCGTCGGGAGACTCGAGTAATATCAAACCAGACCAAAAAGTGCCACGAGTTACATATTACACGTAATGCTTTTCTTATTACGTAGCTTATCGTAATATTTAGATAGACACACTCTTTACAATGAATGATCCACGTACGAATTTAAGTATTTCCGGTTAGTTAAGTAACATAACTATCGAATAGGAATAAGCTAGATGTAAATTAGTCCCACATTATCTATTTCATAAATAAGTTAATATTTAAACATTGGTTTCGGTGCAAAAGAAGAGCTTTTCAATAGAAAATGTAGAATTTTACAATTTCATAATACATACATTGCATAATACAATACTACACATGGGTAAATAAGCACCTTAAATAGCACAACTTGTAACTGGCTAGTATACAAATAAATATGTACTAAATACCACTTGCATGCATATGCAGTGCATACGAAATGCACTACATATCGAATTCAGTTAATACATACATATGTATATACAATTTCAAAAACAAAAACATATCCCAAACATTAGGCATGTTTAACAATAAACAAGTTTGCTTAGCAGTAAAACAAAACACACCTTTCCTATCAATCCCGATAGGTCAAACATGAGCGCGGATATTCTGGGTACGTTCGTGGAGTGCACACATAATTCTTATGACGATATGTTCTCGTCAATCTTTTCTTCCTCTCATCGCGCATCTCCTTCTCGAGATTTTTCGCCTCCTCATTGTCCAAATACTGGTTTCCCCGTGGTAAAAATGACACCACCAGCTCGACCATTTCTGGAGGCAGTAACTGGACCAAGACGTCCTTCACTTGTCCCAAATACCACGCCCATTGCTGACATGGGACGCGAGCTGACGACAAAATCCTGGCTCCCGGATCGACAAGGAAAAAACCAAGGATTTTGCGGTGTCCAGGTTTGTCGGGATCATCCAGTTCAAAAGGAGCCACACGGTGAGAGACAGAATTCTTGAACACAACGCTCCGACCCGGTACCGTTTCGATTTCGAAAGGATTATTTCCACCATCCACGACGCCCATGACGCCATTCGATGCCCGCTGGGCAGGAGCAAGATACAGTTTTGACGTGGTGATGTTTTCATTAGAGAAATAGTGCAGACCAACGGCGACTATTTGTTCGTTCGGCATCCCTTCAACGTGCCACTGTCCGCCTGAAATTGAAATAAAATAAATTATTTAGATTTAGACTTTTGCAGTACAGTTGCCTTAAACTTAGGTAGAAGATGAGGTATGGACGCAACTTTTTGATAAATTAACAATGAATTCTTCACTAACCCGGATGCTTAGAATTTTCCGGAGTTAAAATTGTTGTCGCCATTCTAACCACGACTTGGATTTTCCTCCCGCGTAAACTGACCGGAGCAATAGGAATAATCGACTGCTTGGCCAATTGCCGTCGCGTTTTAGGTCCACCTTCTCGACCCGCCATTCGAATATCGGTCAGCACCTTTTCAAATAGTGGTACCATTTTGTCCAAAACTTGTTCCAGAGTTGCGTACAATTCCCCATGTTCCGCAGGATTAAGACCGTTGACATACGACGTGAAGTGCGATGCACCACCAGAGTCGATAACGACGTCGGCAGGAAGGAGTTGATAGTTTGGGTCCCATTCGATCTTTGGTGGGGGCGAAATCATGTCATCGGGTATGATACTTATCAACCTCTTCACGTCAGTTTGGTCAAGATACTTGTCAACCTTGTCGGAATGGAAATGTAGAAGGTGACGATAATCCCCGACCTTCTAAAATATCAATTTTTATAGAAATTAGACCAAATTGGGATTTGGGAATTTTCTTTTGATGATGTCATGTATTCAATCTTGTAAAAAATTCTCGTACTCCACTTTAGTAAACTGACCTTGTATTGTTTCGAGACAAACGCCTCTTTGAGGATATGTGATCTCTCTTCTACGACACAATATGGGTATGGGTCAATTACATTGATTACACGATTTTCCGTCCCTTCAAAAAAATTCAAAAATAACAATTTGTATAAAATTCGTTGACCAGAAAGTTGTCCCGCTTCACCTGGTTGCCAATTATTCGCCTTGATCGCGATGTCTTCTACTTCTGCTCCTCCCACGACGAGTCGCTCGGTCACGGCGATATCCACGAGGCCATCCGCCACCCAGGAACCATCCAACGGCCCAGGAGCCAATTGACCATCCAACAAAGTCAAGAAGTGGGGTAGACGATCTGTCAAATTCATAAATATGTATTACTAAACTCATAATTTTAATAAAAATACGACCAACTTCAATGGTGGTGCCACAATTTAATTAAATTACCGATTACGTCTGGCCAATGTTTCTCCACTTGCACCAACGCGACCTTCTTCTTTCCCGAAGTCGACGCCACATTATCGCCGACAAACTCAGCTTTCGCCTCTTGGAACCATCCACTAACGATGGGCTTATTGTTAAAGTCAGTCTCCCAACCTTTTCGTGACCTTATCATCCAACTCAACCTCATTCGAGACAGTTCATCCTCACTGGACGCGATACTCGATATTATGTTGTGAGGGTGGTTGTAAAATCGTTCAATAAGGGAGGAAGAAGCCATTGCGAAAGTTGATAATTTCAAATTAAATCAAACTTGAGCCGATTAATTTAATCGATTTTAAGTGTAAAGTAAACAGCAGAGGAAAAACAACTGCTCAATTTTGTTCATGGACATGTACATAGTGATGTTATTACTGATAGAAATCTTCGGACATATTCGGATTTTGTTGCTGACTCAGCTGACTGACAGTGACAACATGGCAAATTGCAATTCTCAAGGTGACTGACCCGATCCAAATTAAGGGCAACATGAGAATTGAACATGTCGCAATTACATAATTGCACAACAAATAATTTTATCTTCATAATTCATGAATATGCGACATTTATGTCCAACCTAAAATTAAAGGGGGGTATTCATAATTAGTTGCGACAATGATAGTTTATTCATCCGTTGGGTAGAATTTTTTAGACGTCTTATGCATGCACAGGGCCCGTTTAGGGGCCAGGCAGCCTAGGCAACTGCCTAGGGCGCCAAATCCTCAAGGGCGCCGTGAGGCGCCCGGCTGTACACTAGATAAAAACGACATTTGGGGAGATTAATAAATGATTTTCTTACATTCGTAAAGATAGAATGGTCAGTAGAAAAACTTGTAAAGAATTTTGTGAAACGGTCCGAGGACTATTTAATAAACTTTTTAGCTTAATTTTTTGCATCACATAGTTTTTGACAAACACTGTCATGCTGGCCCCGAAATTTGGAAGAGGGCAATGGCTCAGAACGCCAAATTCTGAGGGCGCCGATAGGCGCCCTACTTATTTTAAGTTTTCCTATTTTTTCTTTACTTATATTTTTTCTAAGGTAATTGTTTATATAAAGGCGCACAAAGGAGTCTTGAATTACGAAATAAATTGATGTTAACCAAACTAGTCCAAATTTATGTGTAAACTGTAAAAACAGGTTTAAAAGTTCACAGAAATGCATCTCTTATCCCAAAAGCTTTTCGGAGCATATGCACAATTAGTCAATTCATCGAGTTCTTACTGGGCCCGTGAGGGAGGTAAGAACAGGTGCCCAAGGTGCTGAGGCGCCTTTGATAACATGTGATCGTGAGGCGCGAACTCTAACAGTTTTCCGGACAAAACCTCGAGTTCTCGACCTGAACTTTTCGAACGTTAGCATGAGTTCAAAGATGCGAAAAAATGATTCCATGGCCTCAAAATTGGGGAGGGCAACCTTTGGGTGCCGCAAAGCACCCAAAGGTTTACATATATATACACGCACATTTATTTCGGTGTTCAAAAAATTCGAGTCAATTTATTGTTAGTGTTTTGTAATTCGCGATATTAAATACCCCAGTTTCATAGAATAGAAACCTGATTATTTAAATATTTAAAAAATCGAAATAATCGAAATCCGATTAGCAAAATATTCTTATTTTCGATGCCCTACTTTACATCGCCCCTGGTTCCCTGGGAAACGCCCCTGGTTAGTGTAATCTTGAATATTAGCATTGATAGTAAAATAATCTACATTTGTCCAGAAAACTTTATTGATCTAAATTCTCCTTGCAAAAATGCTGGCAAGGAAAGCATTCGAAATATTTATGTATTGGATCAAAAATTACATCAGACGGGCGCCGTCACCATCATGCCCAACAAACATATGGGCATGATCGGGTGCTGTCTATGAAAGACATAACTGATCTATTAAAAATTGAACTGTCACGAAATTTCAAATTGAGGATTTTTGATCAGTTTCTGCCAGTAGTACACCCTCCTGTAAACTACTAAGTTTTCTGAAGGAACATGTATAGTATACTAAAATTTGAAAAGGACCCGAGCTCTTAGCTGGATAGAGATAAAAATCGCGACCTGTGCTCATACTTATTGCGGATTCCGATACATGGATAATGCAGGTATGCGTATTTTTTGCGTGAAGAAAATAAATTGGTACCATGAGTGACAATAATAAAAACCGGAATCATTTCCCACGTCTCAATTTTCTGAGTCCAACGGTGGAAGTCCGGCGTTTCAATTTCTTTCGGCTCCCTCATGCAATGGAAGGAAATGAAAGTTTGAAAAATCGCTCCCGTCTACCATTTTCTGCTCTAAGGCAGGTAAATATTTTTGAAAACGGTTTTCACCACGTGTTTCCTAATTTTTGTCCCTATAACTTTTTTGGAGCGTTTTTTTGAAATTGAGCGTTTTTTGAGGACTTCATATTGTTTGTAGAACTTTGTATTAACATTTTTAATATAGTCCACATTATACATTATGTAATATATTTAATGCTGCGATGATATAATTTTTATATCGGCATGATCTCGTTATTTGTAAAATTGCAAACTCCTTCCAAAAATCTCGAAAATACTTATATACAGACAATTTCCTCGTTGCCAATTTTTCATACTGCAGACAGAGGTCACGATTATTTTTCTGAAAAATCTGAATCGTCAAAAAAGACGTGGATATTTTTTTTAACTTTCTAATATTTTTTGTCATGAGCTTTGGTTGGACCGGGTATGATTTTTTTTGACGGGAAGTATACTGACTGTCTTAATATGTAAACGTATATGTCAGTTTTCGAATTTTCGCCGGGGTGGTGATTGTAAACCTCAAACCTGTCCTTGGCGAAAAATTCTTGTCGGCGTTAAAAAAAATCGTACACGGTCCAACCAAAGCTCATTTTCCTTCAAAACGCATTTCGGATCCGATAAAAAATATTAGCAAAATTCCTAAAAGAAAATATCAACGAAGTTGTTTTTTCCGACGCCTCAAATTTGTTCATAAAAATAATCGTGACCTTTGACCTGTCTGCGATATTAAAAATCGGCGACGAGCAAATTGTCCGTATATAAATACTTTTGAGATTTTTGCACGGATTTTGAAATTTTACAAGTAACGAGATCATGGCTATATAAAAATTATGTCATCGTAGCATTAAATATGTTACATACTGTATCTATTTCTAAAAGTTTGTTGACTCCCTCCCCTGAAAAAAAATATTGTAAAGCACACGAAAATCTCAGAGAAAGCCCAAGGCATCGGGTTTTCCAGCACACTCGTTTTTTGGACAACGCCTTTGTGGTTAAGCGTCATACGAAAATAAATCTCTTTCTTCGAAAGCACAGGTGTCAAAAATCATATTAATTTTCTCAAATGTGGTCTTTCATGTGAAGATTATTTTGTTGAGTTTATTACCTTAGTTCCTTGAAAACCTACTGAAACCCAAAAAAACAATTAAACCCCCTTCTTATTTTTATTGAAACCCTGCAAGAAATAAAAATACTGCCCCAACTCCAACGTTCAAAACAAAACTTAGAAATAAGGTGGGTTCAAACCCCACCGGATTCTTCGTATTTTTTAATTTTTACTTTTTGGAGAAAATTGTTTTTTTAACAATTCAGAAAGTTTTGTTAATATTAACTTTTAAATTTGAATTCGAATTAAACCTTCAACATTGGAAAAGCTCTAGATGCTTATCAATTATTTATATTTATGTACCCGTAGTTCTTGCTTTTAATTGGTCATGTACTTCCCGAGTAAATCCATCAACCTTAATATCAAACCCTGAGGGAAGAATAAGGCTAATTACATTACATTTCTGTAGTTGCGTTAGTTGGTTGTATTGATTTGAACCGTACAATTTCAAGATTTCTACAAAATCGGTTTGTTACACTGAAAACGATCGCATTCTGAGTGAAGTTCTGGTAATGCTTGGTTTCATTTCTTGTTTCTTCCGAGTTTTGAACCTTTTACATACAAATTTATATTTCCGCGAGATTTATCATTTACACTTTCAGTTCGAATATAGGTTTTGACAATAAAATAATTGTTGAGCTTATTAATTTTTGGACTATGTAAAGTGCTGCTGAAATGTATAGTATATAATGGTAGATTTTTAACAGGGAATTTTTCTTAAGAGGAAAAGTTAGGGGCGCAAAAAAATTTGCCTAGGGCGCAAATGTACCCAGCCCGGGCCCTGTGCATGCATTATATATTTAAGGTAATGGTCATATTTGAGTACCAAAGCTAGATCAGAGTTCCTATTTAATGATCAAATTATTATTTGGAGGACTCAGGCAGGACCCCTGAGACCGGAGTCCCACCTGGTTTGTGAAAATTGTCGTGGAAGACTTAAATTTGTAGAAATGCACATAGGATATGAAGCACATTTCAAGATTTTTTGTCAGGTGCCAGATCCCCCTGTAATACATTAACCATTGGTCAGGGGCCCTATGACCTTGAATGATTTTCGAAATAAAGTGAAAGATAAAGAAAATATGAGAGGATACTTAAACTTTAGCACGTTATAATTACTTGTTTGTAATTATATTACAATATATATCAGAGTTGCAATCAAATTCAAACGAATCACGGATGTCTCCAACCCACTCTTCAATTCTTTCAAAGCATTCACATAACTGAATACTTGGCACAAAAGGCTATTCAGAAATTTATAGCAAATAAATAAACAAAACGAAATCATAGAATAAATCTATTATTGAGACGGAAGTATTGTATGTGATACCTTTGACCAACGTTATCCACCCTGTTCAATTACCTCCTCATAGACGAAATATGGAAATCACTTGAAGATTTGCGGCTGAGCGTTTTAGTTACAAAGCGTAAATTTACACCAAGTTCATAGCAACCCCTTGATGACGCTCGATATATTTTCGCCATCGAACATCTCCTCCCCCTTTCGCCTAACCTTGCAGTAATAAACTCATTGATTTTGATTGATTTCTTGTTTAGGTTTTTATTAAACGTGTCGGACGAGCGTGAGAACAAGTACTCATTTTCAGCTCTGGATACCAGACAAGTATTCTAATATAAATTTATAAAAAATAGGTTACTAAAGCTAATAAATTGCAAAATAAAACAAAGTAATGCACGTCGGCAAATAAATAAGTCACATAATTATAAGTAATTGATATCGCTGAAACATCAAATAAACAGAGTTAAAACAAATGCTGCAGTCCAGTAAACTGTCCGCGTACATAAATAATAAATAAACCGTTGCAAACGAAATGTAGCAAAGGGGTGAAAACACACGGAATTGTCTTTGTGGCACACCCACAACGTCTTTCAGCACTTTCCTGTCATTGTCTCACATTACCCCATTTTGACACCCCCACCCACGTAGTTCAAACGTACACGACAATACCTTTCAATAGACACCCCACATGACAAAGTCATTTTTTCGACATTCGACACCTCCCACACGGTCATGGAGTCGTCGCACGTCGAAATGATGGCGATTTCTGAAATCCTCGTCAAAAAATACGTCTAAAACGGTGGCGACAAAAACTTCGAGAATTTTCGACTTTGTCGCCTACACGGTCACACGGTCATCGCACGTCAAAATGATGGCGATTTCTAAAATCCCCGTCCAAAAATACGTCTAAAACGGTGGAAACGAAAAATTCGACACGTTTGACCGTTGGCGTCATCACCGTGGCGCCGTGACCTTACGACCTACAACGCCCATCTTCGAACTCATCCCGTCCCCAAAAATTAGAAACACGTTAGCGAAAACCGGATGCCGAAATTCGAATCCGTTCTAAAGTTATCGTGGATACGGACGGACGGACGGACGGACGGACGGACAGACAGACAGACGGACAAGACATTTCCATAAAGGGGTTTTCACCCCTTAATAACGATATCAACAAGATTAGCTAATCAAAAGACAAAATCATTAAAACATCCAATTCTATAATTATCATAAACATTAAAAGAAGTATGTATTTGTAAATGCATCATTAGATTACGCAGCGGGTTGAGGATAAGCTGAGGTTGAGAATTAAGCGAAATGTTCTCAAACTGGCTCAAACACCGAAGTACAAGTGACAAGTACATAATTATTTGAATTATTTAATTCAAAACCAATATTCGACAATTTCCAATTTATACATATTTAATTAAAATTAAACATTTTTTACTGATTACAAAAACTAATTCAGAATTGAAGCAATTAGATATTAATTTCAATTCGGTCGGGGATTGGGATTAGGGAATAGATATACTATAACGTTTTAGACTAAATGATAGCAATTAGCAATACCGCAATTTTATTAGGGGCCGTCCATAAATTACGTAACGCAAGAGGGGGGAGGGGGGGTCATGGGAAGAGCGTTACGAATTGTTATGTAGGGGGAGGGGGGTATAACAAATTTGTTACGTAACGCATTTCATAAACGCGATTAAAAATCGGATTGAACTCATGTCATCCAGAAGGTTTCAGTGTACGCATGTAAATACGTTTTTCATTATGGTGCTCACATTAAAAGAAGAGCAAAATTCTTGCCTACTTGTAAACCATCATTCCTCCACAGTGACCTCGGAGGGCGATGGTGTGACGTAAGTTTCACGATTAATTGAGCCTTACCTTTACGATGAGAATTTGATCGGAATTTGCCGATCACCTGAGCCCCAACGAGGTCACTTAGGCGCCATGATGGTTGTCAAGAATTGTACTCATCTATTAATGGTCGTACGATAGTTTTCCGGGTGCAACTTGACAAAAGGTTCCATTGTGAGTCTTGGTAAACGTTGAGAGACCTGTCAGATTTACAATTTCCATTTCTTGTCGAATATGATTTCGGTTGTTCTTGAACAAGAAATTCACAAAATTCTAATTTATCTAGCAATTTAAAAGAAATAGAAGCAATAAAAGCGACATTTGTCTACACAACCTGGAACAAATGAAAATTTTGCAAGTTACTGTTAAAGAAATTACCTGCGGTGAAATCAAATTTACGTTACGTTACGAAGGGGGAGGGGGGTGGGTAGTCGAGAAGCGTTACGATGCCGTTACGAGGGGGGAGGGGGGGTCTAAAAAATGATGATTTTTGCGTTACGTAATTTATGGACGGCCCCTTAAACCAATTTTGGTTTACACACGGAGTACATACGTTCAATCGAATTCGAACATCAGTTTCCATAATAAGCCAATTTACGGCGGGCTATCAATTTTTTAAGTTCCAGTTCTTGTTTCCGTGTGCGATACGTCCCCGCCAATCTTTTCTTTCTCTCATCGCGCATCTCCCCCTGCAGACGTTTCGCCTCTTCCGTGTCCAAGTACTGGTCACCCCGACGTAGAAATGACACCACGAGCTCCACTATTTCTGGAGGCAATAAGTGAGCCAAGACGGCCTTCACTTGTCCCAAATACCTCGTCCATTGCTGACATGGGACGCGAGCTGACGACAAAATTTGGGCTCCTGGGTCGACGAGGAAGAAACCAAGGATTTTACGATGTCCAGGTTTGTCGGGATCATCCAGTTCAAAAGGAGCCACACGGTGAGAGACAGAATTCTTGAACACAACGCTCCGACCCGGCACCGTTTCGATTCCGAAATCATTGTTTCCGCCATCCACGACCCTTATGACGCCATTCAATGCCCGCTGAGTAAGACCAAGATACAGTTCTGACGTGGTGATGTTTTCATTAGAGAAATAGTGCAGACCTACGGCGACGATTTGTTCATTCGCCATCCCTTCAATGTGCCACTGTCCGCCTGAAATTCAAATTAGTCGAGTTACTCAGACTTAAAGTTTGAGTTAGGGAACAGTCTGGGCATCCTAGTGAGCGAGTTGACTTTTTCTCCTCGCCACTTACCAGTAATGTAAATGATTTTTGTCACTAAGACTTCTAATTTGCAGCTAATACAAAATGGATTGATTTCGTTTTGGTGGCAATAAATTCCCAAGTTTGTGCTTTACAATTGCCATGTTGCATAAATTCCATAATAAATCTCGGTGAAAAGTATTGGACTGAAACATGATATGAGTCCATGTTTCAGTTCAATACTTTTCTCTGAGATTTATTATGGAATTTATGCAACATGGCAACTGTAAAGCACAAACTTGGGAATTTATTGCCACCAAAACGAAATCAATCCATTTTGTATTAGCTGCAAATTAGAAGTTTTAGTCGAATTTTTTCTCCTTTTCTGGTTCGCGATGCCCCGTTTGGAGAGTGGGAACGGTGACTCTCAAAACCCAAAGCAACTTTTTACATGCAACTGCCTGCATTGTTTACATGAAAATCAGCTGCTCTCTTCGCCCCGCCCCCCTCCATAGAAAATAAAGTCTCTCGGCACACAAGGAGACGCAACCGTCGTCTCTGTCTTTTAGTTATGAGATTTTTTCAACGTATATGCATTCTTAAGTTAAAACTGAGTAACTCCTCATATTCTGCTAAATGATTTAAGACTTCTGTAACTTTTTGTATATATTTTAGCAGAATATAACGACCTAAAATTCATGTTGAGCCATATTTTTCAGCAGAATCTTTTAATCTTAGTACAATTAAGAAATATTAAGAAATCTTCACTAACCTGGATGCTTAGAATTTTCCGGAGTTAAAATTGTCGTCGCCATTCTAACCACGACTTGGATTTTCCTCCCGCGTAAACTCACTGGAGCAATGGAGACAATCGAAGGGTTCGCTAATTGTCGTCGCGTCTTAGGCCCACTTTCTGCCTCTGCCTGCCCTGCCGTTCGGATTTCGGTCAGTACCTTTTCAAACATTGGTACCATTTTGTCCAAAACTTGTTCCAGAGTTGCGTACAATTCCCCATGTTCCGCCGGGTAGAGACCGTTGACATACGACGTGAAGTGCGACGCACCATCAGAGTCGATAACAACGTCGGCAGGAAGCAGTTGATAGTTTGGGTCCCATTCGATCTTTGGTGGGGGCGAAATCATGTCATTGGGTATGATACTTATCAACCTCTTCACGTCAAAGCGGTGGAGATAGTTCCGCGTATTGGCTGAATGGAAATGTAGAAGGTGACGATAGTCGTCGAGATTCTAAAAAGTATAAATTTTTTCCTAATTTGACCAAATTGAACATAGGCCCCAGCATCGCTTTTATACTAATCCTTACCAATAATTTCATCTACTAAAACATGATAAATGTAAAAAATAGCCGTACATTCTTGTAAACTGACTTGTAAACTGACCTTAGGTTCTTTCGGGACAAATCCTCCTTTCAGAATATGTGACCTCTTAGCTACGGCACAGTATGAGTACGGGTCAATCACGTTGATTACACGATTTTCCGTCGCTTTAAATAAATTTAAAAGTAATAGTGCATATAAAATTTATGCTAATTTTTTTCTGCTTTACCTGGTTGCCAATTATTCGCCTTGATCGCGATTTCTTCCACCTTTCCTGCTCCCCCGACGAGTCGCTCGGTCAGGGCGATATCCACGAGGCCATCCGCCACCCAGGAACCATCCAACGGCCCAGGAGTCAATTGACCATCCCACAAAGTCAAGAAGTGGGGTAGACGATCTGTCACATTCACATTAAACTAAAAATTTGTAATTAAAAAATACAACAATTTCCATCAACCGCAATGGTGGTGACGTCATGACGTGACCATAAGCCCAATTACTGATAGTGTCAAAATTTAGTTTATAGTTACCGATTACAACTGGCCAATTTTTCTCCAGTTGCACCAACGCGACCTTCTTGTGTCCCGAACTTGACGCCACGGCACCACCCAATTCGTCCTTTGCATCTTGGAACCATTTGCTTACGACGGACGAATCGTTAAAGTCAGTTTCCCATCCTTTTCGTGACTTTATCATCCAACTCAACCTCAATCGTGACCTTTCATCCTTACTTGGCTGACCACGCGATATGATGTTGGAAGGATGGTTGTAAAATCTTTCGATAAGGGAGGAACTAGACATGGCGAAAGTTGGGATGACAAATTTCAAATTAAACTTAGGTGATCAAGTTAATTAATTCAGGGAAGAGAGATAGAGAGCCCCAGTCTATAGAGTGCTGCTGCAACACAATCTCTCATCTATGAATTAATTAAGTGAGGAAAAACAAGTGTTTACGAAGTTGGATCCGGTAGTTGAGACTCGAAATAATACAGTAGACACATGGATTACTCGCACCCCACAAAATGGCCTTACAAATATCCGCTATCGTAAAGTATGTGATAAATTTCGTCATGTTCCACCTATGACCTGACCTAACAGTGACGTAAAAACCCTCCCCCTCCACCCTTCCGTGTTATATAATTTATGAAAGGCCCCTAGTCTCATTAGACGTTCAATTCGCAATATTTCGACATTCAAATATCAATAGCCATAATAATTTTATCTCATTTCTTAAAAAAATTGAAATTATATAGTCCGAACTACGATATATTGTTAGTAAATGGTATACAAAGGATTTTGAAATATGTACTCGTTCCTGATAAAATTAAGTTTGAATTTGAGAAAAACAAATCGTATCTACACTTTTGTTACATACTGTATACTGTATATAATAAAACGTGATTCTCATCTCATTTGGTTCTCATTGATACTTGGAGCGGGTCAGGCAAACTGAAACGCGTTGGATTTGTACTTTGTAAACAACAGTTGTTTTTTGCAGTTTACGCTTAATTAATTAAACTAATTATTTAAACGTTGAGTTTACTTTTGTTTATTTTCACAATGTCTTCTTCCTCATCTATCATAAGATTTTACACACATCGTAACTGCACTATCTCGACTGTCGCGCCTAGAGCGGAGCAAGTGATGCGAATGCAGTTGAATTGGATGATAAGGTCACGAGAAGGTTGGGAGGCTGGCCTTAATGATTCGTCCATCGTTAGTGGATGGTTCCAAGAGGCGGAGAATGCCTTTGTGGGCAATAATGTGGCGTCGAGTTCGGCAAAGAAGAATATGACGTTCAAACCATTTAAGAGAATCTGGTCGTTCGTGATTGGTAAGTAATTCATAATTGGGAATTGGGCTACCATGTCATATTATATTTTTGGTAGCATCATGAAACTGGCAACATAAGGTGTATTTCTAAATTACGCATTTTGAATTTAATATGAATTTTGAAGGACGTCTACCTAACTATTTGACTTTGTTGGATGGTCAAATGTTTCCTGGGCCGTTGGATGGTTCTTGGGTGGCGGATGGCCTCGTGGATATCGCCCTGACCGAGCGCCTCGTCGTGGGAGTAGCAGAAGTAGAAGAAATGGCGATCGAGGCGGATAATTGGCAACCAGGTGAAGCGGAACAACTTTCTTATCAACGAATTTTATACAAATTATTATTTTTGAATTGATTTAAAGGGACGGAAAAGCGTGTTATCAACGTGATTGACCCGTACTCATACTGCGTCGTAGCAAAGAGATCACATATTCTGAAAGAAATATTTGTCCCGAACGAACACAAGGTCAGTTTACTAAAAAGTCAAGAAAGGACGAGAATTTTTTATTAGATTGAAGATTTAATACATGAAATCATCTAATGTAATGTCTGTAAAAATTGATATTTTAGAAGGTCGGCGATTATCGTCACCTTCTACATTTCCATTCCGACAAGGTGGACAAGTATCTTGACCAAACTGACGTGAAGAGGTTGATAAGTAGCATACCCGATGACATGATTTCGTCCCCACCAAAGATCGAGTGGGACCCAAATTATCAACTGCTTCCTGCCGACGTCGTTATCGACTCTGGTGGTGCGTCGCACTTTACGTCGTATGTCAACGGTCTTAATCCTGCGGAACATGGGGAATTGTACGCAACTCTGGAACAAGTTTTCGACAAAATGATACCCTTGTATGAGAAGGTGCTAAGCGAAATTCTACTGACGAGGTTGGAGGTTGAGCCTAAAACGCGAAGCGAAACTGATAAGAATCAGAGCGTTCCGGTCACCTTGCGTGGAAAGAAAATCCAGGTCGTGGTTAGAATGACGACAACAATTTTAACTCCGGAAAATTCTAAGCATCCAGGTTAGTGAAGAATTTATTGGTTGTGAATTATGATATTGTGCTGTAAACATGTTTTCATAAATAATCTTCCACAAAAAACTGCTGCGAAAGCCTAGAGACCTAAGTAATTTTTGCTAATTCAATTCTAGGCGGGCAGTGGCACATTGAAGGGATGGCGAACGAACAAATAGTCGCCGTTGGTCTGCACTACTTCTCCAGCGAGAACAGTAACACGTCTAAGTTGTACCTTGCTCCCACTTGGCGGGAATCGAATAGCGTCATAAGCGTCGTGGATGGTGGAAACAATCCTTTCGCAATCGAAACGGTGCCGGGTCGAAGCGTTGTATTCAAGAATTCTATCTCTCACCGTGTGGCTCCTTTTGAGCTGGATGATCCCGAGAAACCCGGACATCGCAAAATCCTTGGTTTTTTCCTCGTCGATCCGGGAGTCCAAATTTTGTCGTCAGCTCGCGTCCCATGTCAGCAATGGGCGTGGTATTTGGACGTCTGGAAGACGTTTGGAAGTGAAGGACGTCTTGTTCCACTTACTGCCTCCAGAAATGGTCGAGCTGGTGGTGTCATTTTTACCACGGGGAAACAAGTATCTGGACACTGAGGAGGCGAAAAGTCTCATGAAAGAGATGCGCGATAAGAGGAAAGCACGATTAGCGGAGTCGTATCGCAAACGGCGAGTGCAAACAAGACGGGTGATGCAAACAGCACGGAAAAGTACAGGTGGACCTGCACCCCGCCGTCAATTATCTACTCGTGCAGACTGATGTGATTTGAATTCGATTCGACGTAAGTATACACACATAATATATGTTGTATTACATATTAAATATTATATTATATATATACACATAATATTCAGCATTATAAAGTTAGCGAACTATAAATTTTATGAAACTTTTTATATATTTAATTTGCAGCAAAACGACGTTTTACAATCGAAATCGAGTATGGATAAGTTTTGCTGGTTCGTGTCATCTACATGAAACAGTTTTACACATTCAAGAATTGGGTTACTTAAAATAAGATAAAATATAGATTATAATTAAGTCGAAATTTTAAAGTTTCGAGTGTTAGTTTTTGGACCAATTAATTAAAAAAATATAACTATGTATGTAGTTCGGTGAGTTTATTACTGCTAGGTTTTGGGATTAATTATTTTATTAATTCATTAGACAAGTTAAAAATTCTTTAACGCATAAAAAATTGTACACTCAATTTTAACACTGCAATTCTAAATACCTAAATAATTAAAACTTGTATTGGTGATGGAACATCTCTAACTTCACTTTTTTGGCTTTATATTTTTTCGCGAGCTAATAAATCATGGGTTGAAAATTGTTATTGAATACATTCAACCTGTGTAGTTTAACTTTATAACATAGTTTTTAAATACAGATCCTAAGCCGAATGGTGTCACAAGACCTGTTCAGTGGCCACGGAAGTGTGGGGACATTGAGAAAATGTCCCCACGAAAATTTTGCCGTGGAGACTTGCAATGCATTTATCCCCATGGGCTCGTGGGACTGAAGTACAAAAACATCGACCTTATAACTCAAACCGTAATTTTAAACTTATGTGGTAATCTGGTAATAATATTGGTTTTCTAATCTAATTTTAAGCTAATTGATTAAATTTACGAGTATAACTAGTGCCATTCAAGTATGCACTTCATTTTGTAACAATCGGCAAGATTTTGATTTTCTTAAATTTTCATCAATTTTTTTAGTTTTTAACTGTCAGATTACTATTTTATCATACCCAGCCCAACCCAACATTATGTTTTTAATGCTGATTTTGTTTAATTTCTTAAGCTTGAAAATAACCAAGCGGGTGATATAATTATATAATATGTCCCTACGGTTCAGCCTATCATCAGCGGCTACTGGACCTCGGGAAAAAAGAAACCTTGGGTCTGGTATCAACAACCGGTTAAAAATATTGAGTTACTTGCGCCTTATGGAAACAATGACATATTTTTCCTCCAATATTCTTCAGAATAATATGTTCTGGAAGTTCTGGAAAGAAATATTAATCCCACTTTACCAAGAAACTTATTTCGGTACCTGCAAAACTAACCCTTCCTCAGGTATCGGGGTTTCCCGATACCCTGAACAAGCGACCCTAAACTTTGTTATGCATTTGACTTCTTACATTGTACTTGCTTACTAGTACCACATTTAACTAATCCTTAACTGCCTCCAGCAAGTAAAAATTCCAGCATTCAACAATCAGTCATCATTCGCAATTTTGTCCTCGTTCAGTAAGCATATTTTACAGCACTTTAGCTTAAAAGCCAATCCACATTCCAACCAAGACAGACGTAAATCTGTACCCCTTGAAGTGAGCAACTGAAAAAGTAAAGGAACAATTAAATCTTGATAAGTGCTTGATAAGAAGAGAACTTTTAAGTGTCCATTATGGAAGTTGCTAACCATATTGTCTCGAGACGCAGCATTCACGCCGAGAAGAACGACGAGGGATCCAGTTTCATCGAGTACTACAGAGAACCTCGGCCCCAAAAGATGCGGAAGATTTCGCCACAAATCCTGGAAGACCAAGAACCCCTCGACGCGGAGAAGGAGACGACAAGCTGGCGACAAACAAACCCGCTCCTGATTGCGAATGTGAGTAATTTAATCAGGGTTTAAGTAATTTACATGAATGCACAGTTGAGATTTGATCGCACAAAAAATATTCCATGATGAGCTTATTTACGCCGTCTCATATTCCCTGCAGTTTTAACCACTCATAATACATATGTAATAATTGCTGAAAATGAGTCAAATTTATTTGCGAAATTTGCCAGTACATATACTTTCAAATTATTAAATTAGAAAGGTTGATCTGATATGTTAATACCTATGTAAATTTTGTGTCTATATTTAACAAAGTGATACTTGCACAATATTATATTGCAGTTGTTATAGATATTTGAATTTGCATGTTTGGTTATAAAATTTAATAATTGAATAGAATTGGTTGCCTAAAAATATGAGATTTTAATGAAATTATTAAATTCAGAAAGTTTCATGATGGTTTTGTTGGTTGTAAATGTAAAAGATCATGACAAAGGTATTGGACCGCCCCTTAAGACGCGCGCCGGGCGGGAACACAGCGAAATTAAATTTCGAAAAAATTATTTTTGAATAGACCAAGTTATGAGCTTTCCATTGATATATGTCACCAATTATTGAATCATGGCTAAGACTAGATAAACTTGGGTTGAAAGGCAAGAGTTGGGAAAAAGAGTGATTGAGTTTCATAAAAATCGAACAAACTATGATTCCAAAATCACTTGGCACTTTTTCAAGCAAGAAGGTATTCCTCATTCAAATGTCAACTCTGACATAAAAAAGTACGAGGAATCCAATGAACTCAAATTCAAAGTGCCCACTGGTCGACCTGCAAAGCTATCGACGACAAAAGTCAAAAATCGCATAAAAAAAATTTTAAAAAAATCATTCATCAACGGCAACGGCTGGCACGACCAGGAAGGTCAAGATTTCAAAAAGCTATCTGTGCACAATCAAAGTCCATAAACTAGGGATTATAGCCAGGGCAAAAAAACCAGCACCAAATTACAAACCAACACAACAGGAAAGGATTCATGCGTTCTGCAAGAAATTAAGAAAATTTGGGGAAAAGTGGTCATCATGGAAGATGAGCCCCACGTCACAGCTGACCCCTCAAATCTTCCAGGAAGGCATTTTTTCCATAGTTCCAACCCCTGCGAAGTAAAATATGAAGACAAAGTCCAAAAGAAAGGCCAATCCTCAAAAAAATGAAGAATTTTGCAACGCATGTCTAGCATTGGTCATGTTTCCGATCCCGTCATTTTTTAGGGCACTGTAAACCAGGGGGTTTATCTTAAATCATGCATTAAAGGGGGATTGGAATCGGTTATTACCAAAGATCATAAAAAAATAAAATTTTGTTTTGGCCTGACCTCGCAAGGTCCCATGACGCCAAAAAGGTCACTCAGTATCGACATCTGAAAAAAACTGAATTTGTGCCAAAAATGAAAACCCACCAAATTTTCCTCAACTGCGACCAATTGAGAAATTCTGAGCGCTGACTAAGTCCAAATATTCTAAGCTTTCAGAAACGCCAGACACCTTACGAAAATTTAAGAACAGATGAAAGGAAAACAGCTTGAAAGTAGGTGCCGTCTATAGGCGGAATTTGACGCGAAATCGGAAGAAAAAAATGCAATCTGTAGCAGACAGCGGAATTGAATCATTAAAATTTGAACTGTATGGCAATCCTAACCCTTTGGTAGTAAACATATGCAACTTTTTTGAAATTGCATTAACTGTGTAAAAAGTTCTGAGCATTTTATTACGCCGGTCCAATACCTTTGTCATGATCTTTTATGTAAGAAGCCGTTTATCATTTGTTAATGGTTGAGTTACATGTAAGTTGTGAGTAAAAATAAAGTCACACAAATGGGTAAATGTGAGGCGGATTGAGACATGGTGATTTACATACAAAATCATCCAATACATAATGTAATGGTTTATCGCTTTAAAATGTCAATAAGAGGAGTATTGAGACAACTACTAACGCAATTAAATTATTGTTTATTGTTAATACAACAATTAAGTTTTCTCAAATATTTAATTTTACTTTAATGCAATAACTTTATGAACATTTTACTTAATACAATACTCGTGCTCACAATATTTTGCGAGTTTTATAACTAATTAGGTAATAATAGTTATGAAGTAACTAATATCCTCTAATTTATCTTCCCAGATCCTCGACGTCATTTTCCCCTACCTGGACCACGCCACCCTGAAGACCTGCTGCCAAGTATCCTCCCTCTGGTCCGTCCTTGCCACCCCGCTGCTCCGATCTCGCTCCCAGCTCCATCTCGCCGGCCCCCTCTTGGACGAACGGAGTGACGCCTTCCTCTCAACCATCTCCTGCTCCGAAACTCTGCCCATGGCCAGTCTCACCTACAAAGTCCACACCCACACTCCCTTCCCCCTGTCCGACAGAGCGGCCCGTTTCTTCGCCCAGTTTGGTCCTTCCCTCACCTCGCTCACCCTGGAAGTCCGCGATATGTCGAAATTCTCCTCGAAGCACTATTTCACCATAGTGTCCCACCTTGTGGGTCGTGACTGCCCCTCCTTGACCCACTTGGCCTTGACCAACCTCCAATATCTCCGTTACGAAGACCCCCTCGACCCTGCCATCCTGAATTTCACGTCACCTTCAATCCGCCACTTGACAATCTCCTTCGGGGACTTCATCCTCCGACCTGGAACTGTCTTCAACTACGTGGCAGTTTTTAAATCCCTCCTTGCCATCGCCCCCAACGCTACGAATCTCACCACCAGTTGCCCCGATGAGGGTGAAACCTTCACCTTGTTCCTCAGAACGTTAAGAGACTCCCAGATTTCGGCCCAACTGAACAGCTTCTCGCTCGCCGGGGCCCCACTCGACAACGTGGTCATGAACATTTTAAATTCCATGAACTTCCAGATAGTCACCTCGCTTGAGATCGATACCAAAATCACGGTGGGGACGACCGAAGTTGTCCACTTTTTAGAAAAGTTGAGCCCTACTTTGGAAAAGTTTGTCATGTTTGGCGACAATTGGGGAGTAGTGGCTGATGGCGGAATTACGATGGATTTCCCCTTCATGCCAAAACTCAAGGTGTTTAAGCATCAGAATTTTTTAGGCTTGCGAGTTGCGAGTGCAGATTTTCTGAAAAGATTGCCAAAATTGGGGGAGCTGGTGATTCGCAGTTGGTTAACGTTATCCTTGAGAGATATGAGGCGTTCCGTGTACGGAACAATGTTCCATCCGAGGGAGGACATCATGGGGGAAAATTCTATTTATGCCAACCTCCATGTCAAGAAGGTCGTTCTGGATGCGGCCTTTGTCCCCACGTTTGAAAATCTGGGGGCGATTGATAAACTACTAAAAATGTTTCCAAACGTGGCAGAGTTGGAGCTCACGGTCAGTTTCGCGTATAAAAACATCTGCGTGGGATACGTTCTGGAGACGCTGGCCGAATCGAAGATTAGGAAGCTCAAGATCAAGTTTTTAAAGTGTGCTGAACTCAGTGAGAGGGTTTCGGCATCATTTCGTGCCGCGTTGGAGAGATATTTGCCTAAATTTTCTGGTAAGTTCATTGGTATTATTTGTAATAAAATTTTGAAAAATCTATTAAAAAAACGGGAAAAATTTTTCATGGAAACTTTACATATTTTTTCTAAATTACAGAACTCCAACGGGTCGACTTTATCCTGGAGGACATGCCACAAATATCCAGATTCCACTTGCCACTTTACGTCGTCGAAGGGATGTTATGCACCAAGTCGTTGAAGGTCCTTAATCTGACGGGATTTTCCATTGGGGTGAGTACTTATTTATTTAAATATTTAGATTTTTGAGATTATTTCTCATCAGCGAAGATTGTAACTATGTAAATCTAAATTTTTATATATTTTTATTATCTGACTGATTTCAGAAGGACCGCGAAGAAGAGACGGAAAGGTGTCGCCAACTCTTAGACGACAAATTGGTCGAGTGGAAAATTTTTGACAGTGTCCTTAGTAATGAATGTCCTCAGTGAATGTTCAGTAAAGTGTAATTATTTCGGTTATTAGTTGGTTAGTTATTGCATAGATTTTTGTCGTTTACAATAGCAATCATGTTGGTTT